ACGAGTTTCAGAAGGTGTCCCTCTCACACTTGGGATGGAAACCACGACTGCGAGCCTGAGGTGAACACAGCCAGCTAGAACTCAAGCAACACACCCTAGACTAAACTATAGACCTCGATCATTCGATTGATACCAGTAACAACCTAAGTTTTATCTTGTACGGCTTGGAAGTGACTTCATTTGGTACATCATATTTAAGAAATTAAATTTTTATTTTTCCTATTCCCTCTTTTTCGCAAAATGACAGCAATTTTGTTAGATTTGTTCTAATATTCGGAAACGAAAATTCAACAGATTCCATGATGAATATTATAAACACTTTTTTGTTCAAATAACAAAAAAAAGCACTGCAAGTTCTTCTAATTCAAAAATAAAATGCTCGAGTAAAAATATTTTTGTTTATTATATTATATTACATTATTTATAACGGACTGATTTCCTTCCAGTTACTACACAAACTCATTCAAGTGAAAGAAAAAAATACATAATTTCATAAAGTAATTTAATGGAAGGGAGTAAAAAAAGGCTAATGCAGGGCTTTGCATCAAATCTTCCTCTTGGAAAGAAAAACGACAAATCTTTGAATCCTTTTACAACATTTAATCACGTTCATTCTCCATACGAGAAACAAGACAGCCTAATAAAAATTGCTTCTTGTGCCTGGAAAGTTTAAACAAGTGTTATTTGTATGGTCCGTTAACTACATTAGAGTTAATCACGGCTTTTTACAGACCACTAGAATCAATATAGGACGGTTCTTCTACCCAATCGACGCCACGAGGTCGATACCAATTACGAAATGTTTGATTTTAGGGCCAAAGGTAATCATATAACTCATCTTTTGCGCGACTGAAAAATGACAATATCCCGTTAGACTGATGAAGTGGCATACAATTTGCGTGCCGATACACGAGCAGTTGAAGAATTAGAAAAGCGTAGTTATTACACCAAAGACAAATTGATAATGAATGTTATGAATCAGACTAAAACCAATCAGACTTGTGGGTTTTGATTGGAAACAAGTCAGTTTAGATTTCCCGCCTGCCCATTTCCTATTAAATAAAGTACCAGAATACTAGAACTCGCCCGCTAAATATTTGTCTTTCATTTTCGTTCCATTTCCCTGACTTTCATCAATAGAAAGTTGACAGGCCATGATTCCAAACATTGATGTATTACGTTACCAAAAATAAATCGCTAGTAATATATTCTCTTTTCTTAGCACTTTCTTTAATGCAAAGGTCTGAAGTTTCTATTCAATGTTTCTTTAGAATATCGTTAATGTATAAGACTTGATGCTGTCATTCGATATCTCTATTAAAAATGTCCTTCGCCTGATAATTCATGCATTTATGATTACATGTTTTATCTTGACTACAGTGGTTGGGATGGATGAGTTAAAGAGCACTATCGCAGATCTTGCGAGGTATACATTGATACAAATTGGTTAAAAAGCGCAAATCAAACACCAAAATGCAAATAAACTACTCATGTAAACGATCCCGTAACTGGCTTAGGTGTCTCATAAAAAATGAAATATTTTCAGTGTGTGATTTGATAAGTATGTCTATCATATACCTTCCTAAAGTTTTCGGGAAAGAGATTTTAAGACATGGCAAGCGCTTTGTTACGGTTAGAAAGTACTATTAAACACCCAAAATCATTATTTGCTGTATATACAATTTCTCATTTCCTATTCGAACACAGCATATAAAACCAGACGATAATTTCTGGAATATATATATGTACAACCCTGAAACATAAAAAAACATGGGTAAAGTCATACCAAGTCAATAAAAATATGGTACCAACCATCAATCCATTTATTACATTAGATTGTTTTTATCAAATGGGCCGAAATTTGTGTTAATGTTTTCATGAGCTTTCCATTTTCTCTATATATATATATCACACTCTGTCATTAACAGTTCCCCCAATTCATCTTACATAAATGGATGAGGCTGTAGACATTGAAATATTTCAAATATGTATTTGTTCAAATTTTATTTTATATCTCATCTGGATATTATCGATTAAATAATGACAAGCCTCGATGAATATAAATTTGATGTTCACTGTTTACGTTTCACTGTTAGCTTTCAGTTTGTTCAGCGGCATTTAGCAGCAACTTTAACAGTCGAGTGCCTTAGTAATGTAATCTAGCATTCTGATTTGACGGCTATTGCTGTTTGACTGTTGCCACTAAAACTAATGGATCAACTTGATGAAAGATAAATGTTAGTTCGACAAGAACAAATTCAATAAATTAACCAAACTGCCAATATTTTTTGCCGCGTTAAACTTTATTAATCAAAAAAATCATCGAAGCGAAAGTGATGGACTCAGGAAGATTTATTTGATTAGAGATATGATTTCATTCCAAAATAGAAACGAACTTTTAACGTGAACAAATAACATATCCTACTCTTTAATTTTGAAAATGATAATTTGCTGTCCTAAACTCGTTTTTAAACGAAAACTTTTCCTCAGTCTAACCAAAATGTTGCCTCGTTTGAGTGATGCCAGTTGTATCAGCAATGGTTGACTACGAAGTTATAATAATGCAGATATCTAAAAAAATTAGGATAAAATATATGCTAAAATGTTATTTAACTTATTTAATAAGATGTGCAAATAAACATATTAAACTGAGATTTGTGTTTAATATACAAGACATGTACAAACACAAATGCTATTAACACAATTAGATATATATTTCCAGAGAGGGTAATATACAATGTATAGGATCTAAAAATATTAAAGGGAAACCTTTGTGAAGAGGATATATTACATACACTACGAATTTGTCTAATTCAAACGCACTTTCATCACACGTCTAAAAATCCCACTCTTTGTTTGTTACCTATTAGTTGTTATTTATTTGTCACATACACGAATTATTCCATCACATCACAAATAAGATATTTTTGTAATGGTAGAAACCCTCAATTTAATTGTGTTTTCGATATTATGTCCTCCCTTTGTAGCTCCAAAAGGAAATGAAATGAAATGGGGTTTAACGTCCTACTGTTCTGCTACTAAACTGGGTTAATGAAGACGGGCATACGCCATACAGTGTGCTATGCGGGAAATTTTGCCCGGGCAGCGGCGCTACGGCCTACTCTTATATCGAATCCAACTGCCAAGGGATCTTTTACGTGCACGCCAATATGTACACGGGACCTCGGTTTTCCGTCCCATCCGAACGACTAGACAGCTGTCCTTGTCAGGCCCTCCGTCCTGAATCACTGACAAGGGGAAAAGAGCTCCAAAAGGCGTTACCCAAAAGGAAACGCGCTTGCAGAAGTAAGAAATTATTAATGTCAATGTGTATAGGAGGTACAAGAAACGGTACATAGTAAATGATGTAATTGAGTTATGATGATTAATACGGTATGTGTTCATATCGTTATTATTACAATTCCCTCTTTTTAACCGATTCATTTCCTCTGAGGACGTTAAACTCAATTTCATTTTATTTCCTCTGAAGTCATCGTAGTACTAGTAGTTTAATGTTTGTCCCCAAAGAACAATTATGACATTGTACTTGCGTTAAATGTTAGATGCTGCATTATTGTAAAACGTTGCCTCCCATCCGAACAATGACTGTAGTATGTATCAGGATTTCTAGACAACAGAAAATCGACACAACTCTTACAAAAGGTTCAGTACTCAGGCGATACGTTTCAAGTCAGTAGCTTGAAGCGTATATATGGTATTAGTGTCAGTGGCTTGTGGCACGAAGTAACAGTATATTGTCGCATACATAATATATTATGTCAACGCTTGGGCGATATAATATATTATGTCAACGCTTGGAACTAGGATGGAGGTGACTAGGCATGAACTTGCAACGATAGATTTAATTGGCGCTTTGATAACCAATGAATGCTTGTTTTTTTCTTTTCTGTTTTTTCTCTCTTTTCTGTGTCCTAACCCTAACCCTAACCCTTACCCTAATCCGAAAGAAAAGTGCCCTTTTTTTAAATTCTGACATCACAGGTGCCCTTTTTCTGATAAGGATGCCCTCTTTTATTTACAGGGACACTTTCTATGGCTCTGATGACGCGTACATTCCACTGAGTCTACAGGTCTAATATGCTAACACGCTTGGAGCGTCAACACAATATATTATGTCGCCCAAGCGTTGACATAATATATTATGTATGCGACAATATACTGTTACTTCGTGCCACAAGCCACTGACACTAATACCATATATACGCTTCAAGCTACTGACTTGAAACGTGCAGGGTGCAGTACTACAGAAGAACAAGTTATATGTCTTATAGTAATGGTGAGTGTCGGAAGCGCGGCAGAATATGCTTACTGTTTTCTCGTAAAGTCCACATTGTCTGTTATTAAACTACCTTGTCACCTCGTGGTTTGTATTCATGAACTTGTAATGTCTTTATGGTCGATATAATTGTATTATACTAGATATATGAATAAACAACTGATATTGGAAACCGTCAAAATACTTAACAATGATATTAATTATGAGGTCAGTGGTGGGTGTGTGTGTGTTTTTGTGGTGTGGGGGATGTCAGCCGACAGTAAACGATATCACTAGACCCTGTTGCAAGGATATCTCATGTTCTCGATCTGCTCATATCTCATGTTCTCGATCTTCTCAGTTCACATAACTAGCTTGGTTTTGGAAACAATCTGCAATGACTAAAGGGTTGTTTAACTTTAAGTACACGAGTCTGAACGATGGGAATTATTACATCCAGCAGTAAGTGTTAATTACCAGTATACAATTAAAACTAGAGAAATAATAAATATGTTGTTTGGGTAAAACTTGCTGAATAATATATGACCGAGTTTGACGCAAATTCATTCAAAATAGCATTTAATCTGCTATAAAAGCCATTCACACAACTTATGTGACCTTTAACCTTGAAATCAAACAAACATTACGCAAATATTTGAGTTGCTATAATTCACAATACGAGGTCCACGGGTGTGACCTTAAGATACCACAGTTATGATATAGTTGAGTGTTTCCGAATAGGAATCTACACTTTATCTATTTCAAATTATTTTAACCATTGCTTGTGCAGATCACAAAAGTTTTCTTTGCACAATGCTAAAAACTTTTTTGATATTCGGATTATTCGTAAATTATCTTAATGGATTTCCATCCGATGGAAACCGCGTTCTTGTTAAAAGACAAACAGGCGACAACTTTGACCCCGACGTAAGTATAATATTATCTATGTTTTGAATAATTTAGATGATACGTATATTAGATGATAATGGGCGATTGGTGCTTAACACTGAACTCATAATAAGAATATGTTGCTGATTGTATGACAAGGCGAACTTACAAATGATCAACTATAAGTTGTGCATCTGAATTACTAACAATTATGTGTTCAAGTTCTTTATTAATTTCTTTAAGTCAACGAATCAAAAGATATGACAGTACAATAATATACAATATGTACAAAAACAATAATTAAATGTAAGGTAGAATTATAGGAGAACCAACGTTTTTCTATTTATTTTGCTTGTCTAACAAAAATAGGAATTTCCCTAGGTTAATTATTACTGAAACTGATAGCAATTAATCGGTGATGGTTAATTTGTGCTCATTACTGAGTATTTGTGAGTTCGAAAAGTATTTTGTACATTTAAATTCCGAACAAATCTGTGGTCATCACTGATTATTTGCGCGCGTTATAACTGGAACTCATAATAGATTTATCTGTGATTCACAATTTGTGCTCATCACTAATTGTAAGGAATAATCTATGACTGACAATTTGTGTTTGGCCTCTTATTATTTGTCATTATACATTTTTTATATTTACTACACATTTCAGAGTTTTTTAAGTAAATTTGGTTATCTTGATGATTTATCAGCTGGTCAACACCATGCTGAAGAAACAAGATCAGAGGGAATCAGGTTGGCGTTGCCCTTATTATTATAATTCTCGTATTAATAATATGCACAATACTTCAGTAATACACAAACACAACATTATACACAATATGATTATTATTCTAGTATTAATATATAATATCCACAATGTTCCAGTAATACATAAACAATATGAAAACCTATTTGAATGTACAGTGTATCATTGCGATTTTCACATGCGTCAGAACCTGGGATATTTTACAATATAGTTGCATAATAAAACAGAGAGAGAGAGAGAGAGAGAGAGAGCAGTGGGAGAAAACCGGAGGACACGGAGAAAACCCACGAGGTTGGACAGGCCACCCTACTCCTTGTCATGTACAACCGGGGAATCGAAACCACGCCAGTTGACTCAATGACAGACATTATGATACAGTGCGCTCACGCTAACCATTTGGCCATCCAACCCCCCGCATAATGAAATAGACTTGGCAATTAAATTCCAATGCACACATTACAAATAGACAAATTGATTTTATAATCAGTATGTAAACTTGGCGTGACTTTGCATTACAGAGAATTTCAACGTTTCAATGGCTTACAACCAACAGGAATTTTAGATAGGGAAACCTTTCAGAAAATGCAGCAACCTCGATGTGGGTTACCTGACGTCATACAGCCCCACCAAAGACAACCCCATAGTCATAATGGCGACAGGCAACATGACCCCACCCAGCCACTTCAGTATTATGCCCCAGGTTTGTGTTTCAAAGTATATGTAGCTGTTATAAATCCAAATATAATTCTAGCCAATATATTAGAAAATGCATGTTTTAATGTTCTATTTATGAGTCGTATAAAGTAGATTAATGAACGTTCGTGCAAATTACTTTACCCTTTATCAGACCCGTGACGAGATTCAGACCTGACGAAAGCAATTCTTGGTTGGTGGAGGGGAGGGGGGCATCCTAGGACTTTAGGCGAGGGGGCTGGGAACAATATGAAATCACACATTCCAATAGTTTCTTTTCGTAATCATTATGAATCAGGTTCCTTTTATAACCGTTTCCATCCCATAAGGCATTGAAATCTGAATGTACCGATTCAGATGCCTGTTCAGACCACCTGCCAAGTTCCTTCCCAGGCCTTGCTGATTGGCGGTCCAAATACTGTGGAATGTGGTCTATCACTGTGTGACATTTGCTTGTTCTTGGAATGCCCAGTGCATCATACGCCGCCTCAAACCTAGCAATCGACTCTTTGTAGGTACCGTCCAAATCATTTCCAAAGCATTCAGATTTCAAAGCCTTATGGGTTGGAAGCGGTCACAAAAGGAACCTGATTCATAAGGATTACAATAAGAAACTATTAGAATGTGTGATTTCATATTGTTCCCAGCACACGTAACGTGTGCGTATACGCACAAGGTGCCAATCATATTTTCCGGACTCCTAGTGACGTCAGAACTTGGCGGGAGTATCCGATTTTCACATAATATCTCGTCTATGATAAATTGTATATATGCATTTTACTACATTGCTTCAATTGTCAAGTAATTTCAAGAATGAATGTCAGAATATCGCATATTTGGCATATTTTCGAATTTTGTTTATAGAAGATTTTCATTTTTTCACTTCTGAACAGCCTTGGATATGTGTTCAATGAAAATGCAAACATTATGCCGTGAACTTTTTTTTTACCCTGACGCTACTTCACAAGAGGTGTGCACGGCAACTGCTTGTTTTAACTGGTCATAACTGATAGCAGTCAATTATTTGATGGATAAGGGACACAAGGAAAGAGAGTGAAAATACTCTATCCCGTCGTTTTTTTAATTACCTAATCTGTCATAGATACCAAATAAGTTTACGTTCTAGGAGCCTCACTTCTATGTTAAAATCAGACCTTGTTGTATCTAACCGCATAATTACTTGCGTGTAATAACCCGGAGAAAGGAGTACTTGCGGCCAAATTACTGGGGGGGGGGGGGGCTGGGATTACACAACATTTCTACGTATATGAACTGTGAATTTGCCTCTTCGCTCGTCCTACAACCCTAAACATAGTGGGATGGAGCGTATATGTGGCATGTGTGCTTAATTGTGGTAGGAATACATATTATTTATGTGTGGTACTTCTTATTTGCCAGGTTATAAATGGAAAAAGAACGATATAACCTATAAAATAATTGGATATACCCGTCAACTAGGTGGTACTACACAAAAGTAAGTTTCTCGAGGCTTTTAAAGATGCATTATGTAAGAGCTAAATCTGCCTATTGCTGGTCTTTATTTTCACCCCAAATGTTATATAAATTATTAAATAGACAATGTATTCCATTGAGAGCAATATTCAACTCCGTAGACAATCAGGTGGTCGTGTAAACTTGGATAATCGAGGCTTTGTTTTTTATCGCAACAATGGTAGCAGTAAATATCGAGACTACGCTATTTTTATCAAAACTTCCAATTTTCATAACTCCGCTCCGAATAAAGTAATTTGACTAACATTTTCAATATAATATTCCATTTTCATTTTCTATTTTTAAACTATTATAGCGAGAACTCTCAGCTCTTTATCTAAACCGCACATAATGTATCTTTAAAGATACATGGATAAAATAAACCTGATGATCCAGAACTACATGTACTTTAAACATTATTAATATTACGCGAATATCTGAGTTGGAAATATTTCAAAACTATTTATTTTTAAATAGCGCCATAACCATAATATTATCACTCATAAAAACTCAATTCATACACCGATCCACTGAGACAAAGACAGAATGTTAGTCTTGGGTTTTTATATATGACGGACGTTTCTTCGGCAGATTGCCACTTTACCCCCCCCCCCCCCCCACACCATAATCGGGAACTATACGAGTTTCGAGATAAAGGAGTAATCTTGCTTCTACACACGTACCTGATTGTCCGGCACGATATCAATTAGAACTAGTACAGGCGTGAAACAAAAACTGTTATCTACAAATACATGAGAAGTGGTGAATCAGAACTCTGGGTTTAATAAGATTGTCATTGTTGGGCAGTTTTGACAATGTTTAGCCTCTTCACCAAATATTCACAGTTCTGACAATGTTTTGCCTCTTCACCAAATATTCACAGCTCTGATTACCGACCATTCCAGGAGAGCTTTCAGAAATGCCTTTCAGAAATGGGCAGATGAAACACCTCTAAATTTCCGGGAAGTTACACGTGGAGAAGCTGATATTGATATAAATTTTGGGCGCTATAGTCATGGTGATGGTAATGAAAACTCATTTGATGGACGAGGTAGGTCAGTGTGTTTAGTGTAGGTCAATATCATATTCTGAGACGCAATGAAAACTTTTTTTTTAAATGGATGATTCTAATTGTCGTTTGAAAGCTACACTTGCAATTCCGAAATTAACAATATAAGATCACTGGTAGAGGTGGACACCCACGTTACTAACTTCTGAATTTACCCCGTGTGCCTTCGTTCAATTTAATTCTGCAATTTAATTCTAACTTATTCCGCCATGTCAAATCCTTTATTTACGTGTGCCATGCATACACCAGACCATTTATACTTTCTCATTTACAACTCTTCTTGAGTGTAATGTCTTAAATCAATGGTCGTTTTTTCAAGAACATAAATAGGTAGTCTTTGCTCTATTCTCTCGGATATGCATATTTAAAATCAATTTCATTTTTTGTGTATTTGTTTTTTTTTGTTGTTGTTATATTTTTTAAAAATGGAACTAGAAAGCATATTTATCGCCATTTTCCAGGTGGTACGTTAGCACATGCGTTCTTTCCTGGAAACCAGGCTCTCAGTGGTGATACACACTTTGATGAGGACGAAGAATGGACAGCTAATCGAGATGCTGGATCAAACCTAGAAATTGTTGCTGCACATGAATTCGGCCATGCTCTTGGCCTTGGTCACTCTAGTTCACCAACGGCTTTAATGGCGCCTTACTACCAGGGTTATGATCCCAATTATAAACTAGAATTTGACGATAAGCGAGGAATACAGACCTTATATGGTAAGAAAGAAAACATAATGAAGTGTGTGGATATACCACGTGTGTCTCACTTGCTATCTCTGATATCTCACTTTTCTGTATAAACGATCTGGTCTAAGACTTTAAAATATTTGCTTATGTTAGCAATATAAATAAAAATATATGTCTAAAAGTAAGTATCACATTAGTTTTATATCAAAATTATTTAGAATACATAGGGGATCGAAGGATCTGGTCAGATGCTAATCGGATATTGTGTGCTTTGCGAGTCCAATGGAATAGGCCGATCAAGATATTATGGCATAATACACCCGACAAATTATAATATTGTTTATAACATATTTTGGTAGCTATGACCTTCCATACAACAAAATCTACTCTGTCTAGAGGGAGATAAGGTAAACCATGATTACCTTTTTTTAAAATATATATTCGATGTTTTACTCAGACATGTATTATTAATGTAGTATGTCTTGCAATCTTGAAACCACACGTGATTGGCTGGTTTTGTTTAATGGCGGTATGTCGTAGCACCATGGGTCGTCTGTCGGACGTGGAGAGCGGAAGACGCTAAACCGGTCGCCACATCCGGCGTATAACCCATGCATCGTTTCTTACTACATATTTTGGAACAGCCCTTGGTCGTCTAGTGTTGTTTCTGTGTAACACTATCTTAGTGATAACAGATATCAGTTTAGTAAATATATGATTTATTTACATCGGAACAGAATATCAAACAGTTACATAGATACTAAACTACATCGGGAACTAGACTACGACAGGAACACATATAACTATATTAAATCCACAATTCCGCCCCTCTGCCAAGACAGCGGCTGAACTCGGATGAGTCCAAGAACTCGTCCAAGCCCCTCTTCTCCCCGCTCGTCTCATATCTGCGTTTCTCCTCCTCTCTCTAGACGTCTGTCTAACTGTCAGCAAACTCCTAGTTATATACCCCCCGACAATAGATTAGACTCATGATCATACATGCAATTGTATCTTTATCACGTCATGGTATGCTTACTGACCAACAGTTGTTATATTAGACTGTAAGAGTATATCTGACAATTCAAAAAAGTAATTGAATGTCATTAGATAAGAGAACACGAGAACAATAGAAACAGTCCGTACATTCACGTGTGTTTATTAATTCTATACTTATAAAAACATGGTAATGCACGGACCTTTTCTATTTTTCTTTCATGTTCTCTTATCTAGTGACAGTCAATTTTTTTATGAATTGCCAGATATCCTTTCACAGTCTCACACAACAACTTTTGGTCTTCGAAGGAATTATTAGTGAGCAGAAATTCGCCCATGTATCTGTTGTCACCCGTCACTTCAGTCAGTTATATAGAGGGATAACTCGTGGTTTCCTTTTGCGTTCGTCACTTCCGATTGTTCAAGGATTGATTACGCATCTATCATAGCAATGATCCCTGTGATAAAATAGTATTTGGAACGTGTTTAACCAGTTCTATCACATATGTGATAATGACTGGCACCAATAGTGTCCTTTAACTAGTTTACACTAACAACGATTATGGCATAAGAGATTCGTGCGTATAATGTTTCAAAATATTTTTATTTCAAGGTGCATCCCGTCGTCAACCGGCGAGAACTACAGCACGCCCAAGACCAACACGGCGACCTATTACTCGAAGGCCATCTCGTCCAACTGGTCGACATTGTAATCTAAGATTCGATGATATAGTCGTTGGTAATGTATATAGTTTTTTTTGAAAATCCTAGTCCTTATACATACAGAAAAATTACATATGCACAGGACCGCCAAAATGGATTACCTTTAAAAGTCATACAATATTGAGAATATTTGTATTCTTCATATTTGTTTTTGTTTATTTATTCTTTTGTATTTATTTTAGCTCATGATCGCAATACATATGCGTTTAAAGGTTCAAAAATATATCAACTCAATGGCAATGGTGTTGCACCGGGATTCCCCAAACTTACCAGACGTGTATTCCCAAGAGCTCCGAAAAGCCCTGGTGCGGTCGTTTATGACAGAATAAACAGAAAACTATACATGTTCAAAGGTAGAAATATCATCATTTGTGCCCGACTATTTTTTATTTGATTAGGTCCGACATTCCACGTTTTTCTTATTAATTATGGAAATAATAAATGAATAGTTTGCCAATATACAGGTAAGCCTATTTGCGATTACAAATAACGAGAAGTTGAGAGACATTTTGAATATATACACCATTTGAATAAAGTCAGGTGTTTGTAGAATTATGCAGCTCGAAATTTGACTAATGCATAAAAGTCAAAATTATTTGAGTGAATTGCCTATACACATAACTAACAGATTTTGCTGCGTTTCCGTATTAGTAGTATTACTATCGAAAGTAACGCATTCAATTATTCAGATACACAAAGTTATTAAATAGTTTCATATTCCAAATGCGTTAAATTTTTCAGATAAAAAAATTATTCAATAATTACAATATATTCGAATGCGTTATATTATTCAGATAAATAAAAATATTAAATAGTTTCATATTCCACACGCGTTAAATTGTTTAGATAAATAAAATTATTCAATAATTACATATTCCTCGTGCGTTATTTTATTCATCTGAATAAAATTATTCAATAATTACATTTCCACATGTTTACATTCACTATTTAATAGGGAGTAGACTATGGCGATTTACTGGATTCAGAATGGATAGAGGTTATCCAAAAAGATTACCCAGGGCTTTTAATGGTGTTAAAGCGGCCTTTCAGTATAGTGATAATATAATATATCTGTTTAAGGTGAGATGACTTTGGTGTTATATAATATTATTATTTAATCGTTTTAACGCTACAAATCGAATTCTAATCGCATGGCTGGTGGAACTATAGATATACATTCGCAGTGATAGAAAACAAAACAAGGCAAAAGTTTTATTTCCGAATAGCTACTCGGAACACCTAAACGCATAATGGTGTATTCGAATGATTCACGCCATTATAGATCTGTGTTTTAATCAGATTGGTTTTTTCATACTCCTTTTTGGGAATCAGAAAAATAATATTCCTGAACTAATTTTTGTCAGAAAATGAAAGCTAGGAATTAAATAAAAAGAAATTTCAATCTAAGAATTACATGGATTAGAATTAATAAAATATAAAGTCACACAAATTGTTGTTTTTTGTGTAGAGAAATAGTTATACAGCTTGGTCTGAAACCATGACAAGTACACCGACCGGCTATGAAAGAACGATAACAGAGTTCTGGCGCGGATTAAGACCTGGGATTGCTGCCGCTTTCCGTGACAATTACGGAACAACCTATTTCTTTAAGGGTAGAATGTAAGTTCTAACGAGTTATTTTATTATCCTTCTTAAAGGAGCCAAGTCTCTAACTCAATATTATCCAAAATCTTCAACATTGAAAACACGATTTATTTGTCAAATTAAATCAACATTCATGTTGGGATCTTACCGGAAAAAGATGGGCTTTTGATATCCAATATTTAAGACAAAATAAACATTTTACCATTGGTACACGAATCGTGTACCATAATGCGCTTCAGCCCCAGATGTATCAAGAGACTCGATGGACGAGGCTAGACACATTGCACCAAATCAAACGGCGTATGTAGACTGGATTAACCAGACGCTAGAAATTTGCACTCGCTTGAGACTGCTGGCTTAATTCGCCAAACATAACTGATTTGAAATTGGAGTAACAACGTAAACCATTGAATGTAAATCAGTTTATATACATTCACATTACAGTATTATATGCGTTGCAACCCACTTTTGTCAATTTCTAGGTCCCAAATGTTAGCGATTTAGCTCCTTTAAGTGAAATAGATCTTTTCTGGTCAAGTCGTTGTTTTACGAAACTAATCCCCCCAAACAACCGAGAAACGATTCTCAGATTACTGGCATCAATTGCACAATAAAGAACACTAAACTCCATTTCATTCATCAATCATTCCAATTCTATCGCCTTTGTAAAATAAGTAGATGATACATAGAGATGGTGCATGGGAGATAACTCTTTTTAAGCCGAAAACATTTGTAATATTTCTTTCAGTTACTGGCGATACGACGACGATTTTGGATATGCTGAACCAGGCTACCCTAAAAATACAGCAAAAGCATGGCTTGGCTGCAGTCCTAGAATACCAAAATAAAGTTTTAAATTTTTACGTTCATTCGTTTTTATTCGGGATAGTTATTTACGGGTTTAAGTTATAAATAATCATACCGATAATTACTATTTTTGTCAACATTTAATTTTGACGTATATATACACCGATTACTACTGTAATATATATATATATTTTATGTAGATACGCTATGAGGGTTATTTACTATGTAAGTAATACAAGTATAATGACATTAAACTACCATATACAGATATCGTAACAGGAATTAATAATTTGAAAATTCTAGTGAATATTCATTGTAATCCATTGGTGGGGTTGGGTCGGTAGGATACTGGCCTATCGGCCATAGTTTTCCGGGATGGAATCTAAATTTGTCCAGCCCGGTTCTCGTTCAATATGGGGTGGCGCCTGCAAAGCTTACAAGTTGCAATTCTATACATAAAGTAGGCCTAGGCGTAACCATTTTCTTTCAAAATGAAAGTAGTGTTGATGCGAACTGAAATAGGGTAAAAATGGAGACCGGCATACACCATGCTGTTTGCTATCGGGATACTTTTGCCTATATTTAGGGTTTTCGCGCACCCTTCGTCAATTTCCAAGGGTTCCTTTACGTGCACAAAACGGAACCTCATTTATAACGACCAGAACGCCTACACGCCGTTCCTTGCCGGCCAGCACAGTGATAGAACCTTGGATCTCGTGGTTGGTGAGTCAGTGTGGTACTCACGGTATGTTCTAACAATGGGCTAACAAATCACACACGATCGATCATAACCAGTAATCAAATAACTTATTCCTTACATTATATAATACATTTCAATTCATATTAATTGTTGAATAAAATAAAATCTTTTCAATATTTGTAAAATGGGTTACTTTGCTTTAGAATATACTTCATTGCCTGCTCGATTTTAAGTTTCCAGCTCTGGATATCGCCCCGCCTCCCATATTAATTTGTAATGGCACAAATGTATCAGAAATTTGCTATTTTCGGTTGCTGTGGGGTATTTATTTGTTTCTTCCAGTAATTTTCCATTCTATTCTTTTGCCATATATAGATTTATATAAGCGGTACGATAAGTTCAAGGCTAAAGATTTCAAACATTTGTTAAGATGATTGTCAGTAACTAACCAGGTGAAGTTAAAATACCGTATATAGCCAGAGCTGAACAATCCTATCAGCTCTAGGGAACAAGAAACAATCCCCTAAGCAGTTTGGACACGTTGTGTCAACATTGGAAAGCAAAGTATTCTTGATTTTGAGACGGCGTAAAACCAGGAATTGGTTCCCAAATTATTGATATCAGTCATATTGTGTGCGATTTTTACAGTAAACATTACCAGAAATCATGTAAATATAACAAGTAGCCTTACTCTCAAAAGTCGATGCGCACTTGTCCGAGGAACAAGTATTCCAAGTTGGCGATCGTACATGAATTGGTGGATCCTTAGGCCTTTTTCGAATAGCGTCGTCCCCATGAAGAAGAACACGATGAATGGGTTTTCTTTATTGAGTCTTTTGTTTCTACACATCCTATATACATGGACGAGATTCCCCATCTATAACCGGGTTAGTGTAAGCCTGGCCTCTATAGGTCCTTTAGATATCGGATTATCGAATTCCTAACCATTGATTTTGCCCTAGAGGATTCTGGGATTGAGTGATAGTGGGAGAAATCTGGAGATACAGGAAAAAAAACCCGATGAGATTTGGCTAGCAACACAACTTCTAATTCCCCAGAAGTTCCATTTCCCTACGGTTAAGCGTTGATTACTAAACCGTCTATTACTACGAGTTGATTACTTAATTCCCGGTGCAGTCCATAAGCGAATGAATATATCAGAATATATATATATATACATGTATATCTTTAATACAAGGTGACCATTTTACATTGATTCCAGATGCCTATTACTCCAGCATCAATTACCAGTAGTCTGAAAAAGAGAGAGTAAATAAATCAGGCATACAGAATCGAATTTTATCTGTTTATCGTCGAATTTTATCTGTTTATCGTCGAATGTTAACTGTTTATCGTTGTATGTAATTACAACTTTGGCTGTTATATTCAGATCTCCATGTCGTAGTGATAATATCGTGAGCGGACAATGGGGGACTGAAGGTTACCCCCGAAAATTTTGGAAATGTAACGCTGTAGAATCCATTTCCGAGTTTGACCAGGAGAGAGTGGGCATCCATGTCACCCCCACCACCGCCTGGATCCGCGGCTAAGGATGACATAATATCTGATAAATTTAGTTTAACAACTTACACAATTAATAACTTAAGAATAGGAGCCACTTCCGCTTCCTGACCATCCGCCAGAATTGTCTGAATACGACCCATCCCAGCTTCCAGAGCCAGAGCTGTATCCACCATTATCCCCACCATTATAGCCATCATTATAACCACCGTTATATCCTCCATTATATCCACCATAATACCCACCGCCATTTTGGGGATATGCACCTGGGTAACCTCCATTATAATAATTAAAACCACCATTGTATCCGCCATTATATCCACCATTATAGACTCCGTTGTATCCGCCATTATAGCCATACGTCGGATATCCGTAATACGTAGCAGGGTATGCTGGGGCTACATTTGATACAGGAGGGTATTGATATTGGGAAGAAACGGTTGCCACAAGGGCTGCCAATATTATCCAATAGTTCATTTTAAATCTAAACAAAAAAAGGGATGAAAATACAATAATAAAACATGAAATACGATAGTGGTGGGTGACTTGCATGGGGCAAAGTATGCGTTCTAGAACTAAATAACACTAAATTTGTATTCATTCGCCTTGTATTGGAACATGCAAAATGCATTGTTAATAATATGTGTCCTTAAGTCAATGGCTGCTATTTGTCCAGACAAATATTCGTTTTGGGCAAAGTCGATATAATATAGGCTGGTACGATCGATACTACCTAAAATTAGTCAGGAAATGAGGCATGAACGTTAAAGTCGAGAGTAATCCTTTTATGTAATTGTTCGCATGATCGCGCCGATTTTTAAAATCGCTCGAAAAATACCTCGTGTGCCCATTCACGGCGACGACGATTCTGCTCAGCGAACTATTCTCCCGACCGATCGCTCGTATCCAGCATGTTAGATATTTTCGGCGGAATATCCGCTCGTCTGTTGTTGTTCTTAGTGTTTAACGTCCGCTTCCACCGAAGGTGATATAAAAGACAAGTTGTCTTTTCATTATCTTAGCGCACGCGTAGGGGTCTTTCCTGTGGGAGGAAACCGCAGTACCCGGAGTAAACCCACGAGATTGAGAAGGTGCCACTATTTCCAAGCCACATACGCTCACACCAGGAATCGAAACCACAACCGCAAGCCAGAGGTGACCGGCCAACTTATATTGTCGAGTGAACCATTTTCATAAACCAATCAGAGACAGCAACAAGAGCCAGTTTGTTGTTCGGTATTCACACCTATTAGTCGATTGTTATCAATTAAGTGACGAACGTCAGTCAATGGTTGATAAATTGCTAGAAAGGGATAAAACACTTTGCCTCAATACTCTGCTTTCCCAACCCCCAGATGATAGACATTGGACCTCTCAGCTTATCTGGGACTTAATTGATTAAGTAGGTATGACAAAACGCATATAATAATATGTCAGATGAAACGCAAAAATGTCTCCTAGAGAGAAACTTTAACCATCTGGCATCTAAACTAAATAATTAAAAAAAACCCACACAGCATGGCGGGGCGCAAAACTATCACCAAGAGGGAAACGTTCCGTCCTGCGCAAAGCTAAAATAACAACCAAAGCAGGGTGAAGCGCAAAAAAGATCCCACAGAGGGTAACGCAAATCACCTTGCGTCTCTTCTTTTGTGTTTCTCTCCCCCCACCCACCCCCGGAAGCCTTATTAAACAACTTTCAAGTGTATAAGACCAGATACTCTCTTTTTTCTCTCTCTTTTCGTTTCAGGTCTTGGATTCTTCCTTCAGTGAACTAATAACAGAAGGAACGAACAACAGAAATGAAGATGAAATCAGAAACAAAATGGAAGGAAGAATGAACCGGGCCCTACACTCACCAACAAACCCCAAAGAAGAGTTGCACCACCCTGCCATTCAACCGGACAAATCGACGTGACCGACAGAAATGACATGAATAAATATATATGTACATTCTATGTTCAGTTGTCTAAATGTTCGTCCACAATCATGTCTGTTCTGTAAAATGTTTGTGTATGTCTGTAAAATGTCTGTCTCTATTCGCACCTCCTTTTCTAGCACTTGTTATATTACGTCTCGTACCGTCACTTTTTGTTTTGCTCTAGTAACAAAAAATGGTTCTTACCCTATTAATCATGCAACGTGACTGGAAAGATCAGAATTACCTTCTGCTTTTATAGTCATATAATTTATGTATTCTTTAGTGATGTGTATTGTTGATTTTTAATTGGATGAGAACCCTCATCTTTGTATTTGTATACGTCTCGTTATATCGTTCGCCTGCTATCTGATTAAACATAATCACGAAGAAATAAAATAAAATTATAATATAATAACAAAATGGCACAAACTAATCAGAATTACACCATATTATAGTATCTGGCTATATAGAGAGAATGTAATTGGGCCTGCTTTCCGTGTACGCAGTATTTACAGTTACAGGTGTACTAAAAACCACTGAATGCGGGCATAAGGGCCGTTTATACTGAGAGCGAACGGGATCATGGTCGCGAATTGGGCCCTTTGCGATCGTGCGCGCTAATTATCGTTCGTACTGAAAGCTAATGAAAATCGTCCGCGCGAACTGTTTCCAAAAATTCGTCACGAAGGCAATCTCTGTGGATTTCCGCGCGAACAAAAATTCGACCGCGTTCGCCGTCAGTATTTATAAACGACTTCATTGAATATCAGTAAAGCAATCAAATGCGGTCGCCAAGTTCGTGGTCGCGGTCGCGGTCGCGTTCAGTATGTATAAACAACCCTTTAGACCGGCTTTTTCGCCGGCGCAAACGGGGCTAAGGATTCGGGCGAATGTGTATGTGTGACTGGGTGGGTGTGAGTGTTGAGGTTATGGGCTGTTGTTTAATGTTATTTTTATTTACATGCATGTTATTTCCACGTATGTACCTCGTCTTGATTTGTGGGATTTGTTGTACTTTTGTATTAAAGTAAGTAAAAAGGGGAGAGCGAATAAAATCGCCTTGTATTATTTGTCTAATGTTGTAAACATAACACATATATATCAAACATTCAACGTTATTCACTTCAATGGAGACTCCTAGTGATTGACCAATCCCCAATATTTTTCTTATGAGTTTTCCACAGGTGCTGACAAACTATTAATGTAAATTATATTTGTATTAACTACAATAGGATATGGTCTGTATTATCTGAAATCAAATATTACTTAAATGCTTACTTGGTAAAAATTTGAAGTATTTATCAATCCATGCTTTTATATATAATAAAAACTAATCCCTATAATCACCATTGTAAATTGTATATCTGTCTGTTTCTGCATGTTTCTGTTTGTTGCTATCGGGGCTTGACTATCTATTTAATACCTGAAATGAAATGAAATGGGGTTTAACGTCCTACTGTTTTGCTCCGAATTGGGTTAATGAAGACGGGCATACGCCATACAGTGTGCTATGAGGGGAATTTTGCCCGGGCAGCGGCACTACGGCCTACTCTTATATCGAATTCCAACTGGCAAGGGATCTTTTACGTACACGCCAATATGTATACGGGACCACGGTTTTTCGTCTCATTCGAATGACTAGACAGCTGTCCTTGTCAGACACTCCGTCCTGCATCACTGACAAGGGGGAATCTATTTAATACCTATTTAATATCTATTTATTGTTTGTGAT